TATAAATAATGATATTTATAGTAAGCCAAGAATATTAGTATTCAGATTTCTCTAGTAACTATCTGAGAGATATTACTCTACCCAACTATGTATCCTCAACAGTAATATCTAAAAGAATTTCAAATCATGGGCTTTGATGTCACACAGACTTAAGGCCAAATTATGATACTTATTAACTTTGTGATCTTGGGCATGTGACAGTCTTTGAATCTCAGTCTCTCCATATGTAAAAGAGAGGAAGTAATTCCTACAGAGATGTTACTGGGATTAAATGAGAGAATGTAATGTAAAGTACTTAGTGCTCTGCATGGCAAATAAATGGTGCCATTGTTGTTAATAACAGTAATAAAAGTTATCATTATAACTGCCCAGGGAAAGAAAGTCTAAAGGTTCCATAAGATTTGACCATTGAGATTCCTGACTTTTTGAGGACAAGTTTAGTAGCGTGATGGGGGAAGAAGCCAGAATGCAATTAGTGGAGGCAGAAATTGTAGATTATCATAATTATTTGTGTGACTGTTTGATTACTGTCTGTCTTTTCTAATATACCCAGACCTCTGTAAGGGAAGGGACTGTTTTACTTACTTTTGTATCCCTCGCTTCTGGCACGGTGCTTGGCATATAGTCAGCCCTCAGTAAATACTTTTTTTTTTAAATTAATTAATTAATTAATTTTTTCCCCCAAAGCCCCAGTAGATAGTTGTATGGCATAGTTGCACATCCTTCTAGTTGCTGTATGTGGGACGCGGCCTCAGCATGGCTGGAGAAGCGGCGCGTTGGTGCGCGCCCGGGATCCGAACCCGGGCCACCAGCAGCGGAGCGCGCATACTTAACCGCTAAGCCACGGGGCCGGCCCCAGTAAATACTTTTTGAAGAGAAATTATTTAGGGACTTTGGTTCTCTTGATCTCTCGCTCTCTCACACACACACACTGTCTCTACTAAAAACTCATGTTAAGTATGTCATTTAATCCATTCATCAGTAAATAATCTCCAGAGTTCCCACTTTAGATGGCCCTGGCTCTGAGCCACTAATGGTGTTTCTTCAGGAGTTTTTGTAAATTGAAGGTGGCTGGGCTAGGCCAGTGGCATGGTGAGGGTTAGGGCCAGAAATACCAGTATATTGAGTTAGGGATTGTGAGGTTCAGGGCTTCTGCTAGTATAACTCCTTAAAACACCTCTCAGTCTTTCCCTATCCTTGCCTTTAATTTTCCTGAAGATACCTGGAATTGGTCTTCTGCTGTTTCCTTTCTTTCCATCACTGCTCTCTACTCCCACTTCCTATTGCTTCCGGCTTTTTGATTCATTTGATTCCGTCTCTGAAGTGTGAGCTCTTTTATTAAAGTTTTTATTATTAGTGACCTTGAGAGAACATAAACGGGCAATACAAAAAGGCTTCTTTATTATTTCTTTACTGAAGCTTCACAGGTTATATAAAACACTCTAATGTCTGTATTGGGTTTGGAGGAAGATTGGCCCTGAGCTAACATCTGTTGCCAGACTTCCTGTTTTTGCTGAGGAAGATTGGCCCTGAGCTAACATCCTGCCCATCTTCCTCTGTTTTGTATGTGGGATGCTGCCACAGCATGGCTTGATGGGTGGTGTGTAGGTCCACGCCAGGATCCAAACCTGTGAACCCCGGGCCACCGAAGCAGAGAGCGCAAACTTAACCACTACGCCACCAGGCCGGCCCCTAGGCTAAGAGTTTTAAGGGGAAATTTGCTTCCTTTCTATCCCAAGCCTTAAGCATGATGAGTCCTACATAATGCAGAGCCACCTAAGTGTAGTTTTTGTTAAAGAGTTGGGACCCTGGGGTCAATTTCCACCTCTGCTTCCTACTTGACCATGAGCAGATTATTTACTTACTCCATTCCTCAGTTTCCTCATCTGTAAAATGGGGATAATAGTAGTATCTACCTCATAGGGTGGTTGTTAGGATTAATGAGATTATATCTTATCTATCTATGGAAAATAATGTCTTGCAATGCTGAGTTAACTCAGTAAATGTTAGTTGTTGATATTATTATTGCCTCTCCCTTTTGTATGTGCTAAGCCCTAGGAATTTAGAGATGCATAAAATAAAGTCCCTGGTGTCAAAAACTAATAGAGAAAAAGAAAGAGGGCCAAATAAATACTTGCACTACATTGTTGGTTAATAAAGATATGTGGTGCATTATGTGAGGTGGGGTAGAGACACCATTTCTGTTCAGGCCAGCAAGGGAAAGGTCAGGAAAGACTGATGATGATGAAGGAGAGACTGAGGCAGAGTTTTGAAGGGTGAGTTCTGATTTCTGAAGAGGAAAGAGTTTGACAGGTAAAGGTTTTATAGGTCACTACTACTTGGGGAACTTGGAGGGAAAAGTACGTATTTTTGGTTTTGACTCTCAACTTGTTGAATCTGTGAGGGCTGGGAATCTGGGTATTTTTTTGCTGGGGAAGATTAGCTCCCAGTGAACATCTGTGCCAGTCTTCCTCTACTTTGTATGTGGGTTGCCGCCACAGCACAGCTGACGAGTGGTGTAGGTCCACGCCGGGATGTGAACCTGTGAACCTGGGCAGCCGAAGCAGAGCATGCCGAACCCAACCATTATGCCACGGGGCCAGCCCCATGGGAAT